TTTTTCCAATTGAGTTTTTCTGGCAAGGTTTTTAATGAGGCAATGACGGAAAGCATACTATGAAGACAGTAGTGATAAGACCTTTTATAACAAGGAAAATAAGCAAGTTTCCACTCAGGGACGATTAGATAATCTTTTCTTCGATAGCAAATTCCCACCAAGAAGTTAAGTTTGCTACCGAAAAGAGGTTACCCGATCGTTCACGAGCACAAACCACTAGAGGATTGTTAGGTATTCTTTCGCTTGATAGCATGGGTTCCTAATGGGAAACAAGATATGTTGCCGAGTGAAGGATTACATAGCAATTCATTGGTGGGATCTTCGAAGGTACAAGGCTTCCAGTGTTCCAATTCGCATTCTTCGCATTCGGACACTAGGGGGAATGATATGAGGTTACGGCAACACTGAATGCCACGTCAACCGGGGAATGTAAATCCGGAACAGAATATATCATCGGGATCGGGGATTGCGTAGCCAGCCCCGTAGAAACAAGTTGTACAAGATAGCCACAAGTCATTGCAATATCTATATAGCCACAAGTCATGGCAATTTCTTTTCTGCATAGCAAAATGCTTATGTACGTTTGAAAATAGAAGGAATTAAATGAAATGAAATTCTTTTATTTTTATCTTGTTTCTTGTCTAAACGATGATTAATTTTACCATTTGAAAGTTAAACAAGTACTTTAAATGTTTGTGCCGTAATGAACAAGAGACGTCCTCTTCAAGAGCACCGTAAACATAAGAGGGTCCTCTCTTATAAAAACCCTCACGTTAAAGGGTTGGTTCCGGATGAATCAATTCCCGAAATCCATAAAGTCATCGGGGAAAATTACACCCGAAGCTGCATACGAAAAAGACGCAAAAAGCAAAATTGCGCAAATACTATTTAAACCCTCATGTAATAGGGATAGTTCTCGGAACCGAAATGCTTCAAAGAAAAAGCATCCGAGATCACACACAATAAAGCATGAATAGAACAACATGTGCAGAATACTTAAGCAAGTACGAAAGTTAAAGACTTGCATGAATATTCAAAACGAAAATAAGACTCAAACGATACTTGAGCAAAAAATATATTTTTATTTACAAGGGAGCAATAGAGTGATAAAGGTACAAAATAGAAAAATAAAGAAAAAGCTAAGAATCAGGAGGAAGAGAAGTATCGGCATTCCCGGGAGTTGGTTCCACCAATGGCTCAACGTTTTCCCCAGCTTGGTCTTCGGGATCATCACCTTCCGATCCCTCTTCAGTTTCCGAAAATTCAAAACCGGAATCAGAAGAACCTGGAGCGTCAAACTGCGCCGGGAGTCCATTTTTTGTAGCCAACTCAAGCTCTCTGGCCTTAGCAATTTTGGCATCAATGTCAATGATACCGGTCTTGGCCTCTTCCAAGGTTTTTCTCCTCATACTATACATGAAATAAGTTTTTTGAACAATGAGGAAAGCCGTTCGGTGCTTAAGTTCTTCTTTGAGTTGAGTAATTTTGGCAGAAAGGTTTTCCCGGGCGGACCTAGCAGATTTGAGACTGATATCGAGCTCACGGATAGTTGAACTATAGAGCCTATAATGCTCGATAGTTTTCCTGTACTTCTCCTCCAACTGGGCATGTTTCGCTACCACAGCAGCAAGCTCTTCGCTTTTGGAGTTTAAGGTTGCCTCTAAGTTAATCACTCTTTCAGGGGAGGCAGCCTCACGATCGGTTGCAGCAAGAATGGCGTCTAGGACATCAACCCATTTAGCCTTGGCTTCATCAAATCTAACCCTCAGCGGGCCAACTTCTTGGCTAAGGGTTATCACTTCTTGCTCGCTTTGATGCAAACGAGCTTCCAAAACATCGGCCTTGGTGGCTCTATTTTCTAGTTTTGAGAGGCCGAGAACAATCTGGTCCCGTTCTGCCAAAAATGATCCCGTTCAAAAGTTCTTCCTTCTCACAAATCAACCTTTGAAGGCCCTCAGAAGCAAGAAAATTGGCCTGCAAAACAAGAAGAGGTAAAACTCAAAATACATTCATTCAAAAGTAGGGGAAATAACAGGGGAAGAAAGAAACGTACCGATGTCGCGTTATGCATAGCATTGTTCAACAAACACTCCCACGAGAGTGTCTGAATCTTCTCCCAGTCTTTTTCTGAAGTCAAAGGCTTCAGATAGTTAGCAAACTCCACCGGCCTCGAAAGCAAGTTGCACCCGGTGGAGACCGAAAGGGTAACACTCCTCCTCCTTTGTGGATCTTCAGTCCCATGAACTGGGGACTGTGGAGGAGGGATACCTTCTTCATGTCCAGGTGCGGCCGATGGAGATGATGTAGCAACTGTTGTTGGAAGAGTGGATAAAGATGGGAATGATGTAGCAGTTACTTGTGATGGTAAAGGTGGAGATAAAGCTGATGGAGTGGAAAAGTGAGAAGCAGCTGCATCAAATGCAGTGCTGGTTATTTGATGCTCGCCAACCAAAGACGGCATGGACCCGGTACTCAGCCTTGCTGTATCGGTAACAGCAATTGGGGCCCCGAGAGCGGGAATTGGCATTATCTACCAAATCAAATTCTCCCCAAAGTGTTGAGACGTCATCTTTAGTTGTTGCAATTGTCTCAACAGGTTGAGCATCATGTTGAGATGATGAGGATCGTATACTTCTATGTAAAAAAGCTCCCTCATTACTAGCTTCTTCATCATCGTCGATCATCACAGTGTCTATGACCGGCCCGAAAGGAGGACCAGTCACTATCGCCACTGGAGATGATTCGGGGGCATCAACCTTTGCCCTCTTATTCTTTTCCTCGGCCGCAGAGGAGCGTCTCCTTTTTGGTTACTTGTTCTCTAGCCGGGGACTCCGTAAAGAAACGCTTGCGCCCGAAGCAGGCCCGGATACGCCTGTTCGAGTAAGTACCTCCTGAAGCAGCCTCGCCGCATCAGCAGAGTCAGCCAGAACATCCTCCTCAGGGATATCAACTAAGCCCGTAGGTAGACCTAATTTCGTGAGCAAGTCAGAACGGTTTAATCAAGTTCTTCATACACAAAAAGTGGAAATGAGGTAAATTAAAGTTTCCATGATTTTTGGCCTTCCACCCGTACTTAATGGACAGTTCTTTCCACAAACGGGTTTCGGGTGTTGTGATGTCCAAGTTCTTCTGAACTCACCGATCCAAGACTTCTATCATCGGTGAGATCCATCGAGTCGCTGTAACAAACGAAGGTTGAAGGATCAATACAAGCATGAAAGAGTATTTAGTAAGAAAAGATGTATTAAAGAGAATTTACGGGAGCGGTTCCAAGCAACCGGAAAAAGAATGATGCCTTTGTTGAAATAATTTCACTGGTGGCAACTGCAACGAACCGTTCCATCCACCCACAGTCGTTGTCGTCATCCATGCTAGACAACAAATCATGGTGTCACGCTTGCATAGGTTTATCATTCCCTCGCGGAAGATTTTGGGGGAATAGAGATTCATCATATAAGCTAAGGTTAGCTCATCTCCAATTTCTAGGCACAGACGTCGAAGGCAGGCAACCATCATTCACACTGAAGGACTTACCTATGCCAAACACACTTGGTAGGGAAGGCAAAACTCTGCAATCACGGAATCAAGCTCTCCGCTCAAAGAAAACGCACCCAAAGTAAAAGGATACGTGAAAAAATATATAAACCCTTCCCTGGGAAGGGTCACTCGCTCCGCTAGGTCAGGAGCAATGATGTCCAACTCATGACAGCGGCAGTCCTCCTTCACAGCAGGAATACTGGAAGGGCAAATAGAATATGGGTACCTACTAACAGCCCATGTGCGAGGGTTAGCAGTAGGAAGTTTCTCTTCAAAATTCTTCAAAGTACTAAGCCTTCTTGGGATGATGGAACCCACCGTTGGAGGAACGGAATCCTCGGTTTTGTTCTTGCCCTTTGAAGAACTAGCACATTTTGAAGAGGGAGCCATTGGAATAGAAGGAAGGAAAATTTGTGGTTCGAAGAAAATCAGAGAAAAGTTGGGAAATAAATTTGCAAATTAGAAGTTTTAGAGATTATGAAGTACATAAGCGAAGGATGATGCGTATAACTAAAATTTTGGCGGCTAAATTCATGGCCATGATTACCTCGATAATCGGCAAAAGGCGTGCTAAATCATAGGAAGACACGTGTTCAAGTCATTAAATACGGAGAGACAGGCGTCTAATCAACCGTCAGTGGCCTTCAAAAGGAATTATAGTAATTTTCGCCAAAAGAGTGTTTCTACCAACTTCCCAATAACACAAAGTTATGTCACCGAAAAGTAGGGGGACTATCTGTATAGGAAAAAATACGACATGACACGTAGCCGCTTAAAGGAAGGACACGTGAAATACAAGATAGAGATGGCCACCGAACATAGATATTCCGCTTATCACCGGAAGGAATAATGATCATAAAAGAAGTATTAAATGCTTTGTGTCCATTAACATTTAATACGGAATATTTTACAGCATTAAGGATGATGGCCCGTTATAAGGAATTTGGTATTTATGTCTAACGTTACATCTTCATCAATGGCCCTCATAATTGACATTAAAGAAGGGCATGATCCTAGGTCCTCCTTCCCTAGACATAGCTATAAATAGAGAGCTCGGTTATCATTGTAAAGACACGAATTTTCTGGCTAACTTATATTATATTCTATACAGCATTTTAATACAATTTGATTCTCTCGCTTTTGATCTTATCATTGTTGTACCCGAAAACCTTGTTCCCAGATTCATTAGCTCTGTTGTTTCATCTACATTCTAAGGCTAAGTATTTCATATTTGATCAGTTATTTCATTACTTTTTAGATCAAATTAATTCACTTGTCTAGAAACTACGAACAAATTCAACTGTACCGTTTTTCGGATAAACAATATTTATGAGGCATTATATATTTGTTCACTTTATGAGGAGAATATACATATATTAATGAGGCGATGACTTGAACTTAGATACGTTATTTATGTTCCGGTGTTTCTTAAGGCAAACTTAGAAGAAATATAAGAAAGGTACTTGTTCAAAAATAAGTTCAACATACTATAGGAAATACAAACAAATGCCCTCCTTTTTGGTCTAACCCTCATCTTATTTATGTTCTGGTGTTTCTTAAGGCAAACTTAGAAGAAATATAACAAAGGTACTTGTTCAAAAATAAGTTCAACATACAATAGGAAATACAAACAAATGCCCTCCTTTTTGGTCTAACCCTCATCTTATTCAAACCAATGGCAGTGCATCTCCTTGACTTATTTTGACATTTGCATTTTACTACATATGCAATCGATAAGTAGGAGTCGCCATTAGATGTTGAGCTCTAGCTGTTACTAATCCAAATTTTTCAGTCATGTCAATATCTTTTGGCAGCATGCCATTTGGTAGCTCCCAATCAAAGCAGTGAACCAATTGTGCAACCACCAAACGAACGATGGTAAGCCCGAGCTGTAAACCAGGGCAGCCTCTTCTCCCAGAGCCAAATGGTAAAAGTTCATAATTTCGTCCTCGGAGATCAACATTGCTTCCTTGAAACCTCTCAGGTTTGAACTTTTCTGGCTCAATCCAAGTGTCTGAATCTCTCCCGATTGCCCAAACATTAAGCAAAAGTCGGGATCCTTTAGGTAAATGAAAACCATCAACCGTGCAATCTTCAATAGACTCATGAGGAAGCAATAATGGTGCAACTGGATGGAGCCTACAACCTTCTTTTATGACCATATCCAAATACTCCAGACTTTCTAAATCTGATTCTTCCACCATCCTGTTTCTACCAACTACTTGTTCCAACTCATTCTGGAGCTTTTTCATCACTTCAGGATGCCTTAAAAGTTCCGTTAGAGTCCATTCGATTGTTGTTGATGAAGTATCCATTGAAGCTATCAGCAAGTCCTACACATATCAGCACTATTCTTTAGTTATTAAACTCATAACATACTGAAAACTGGAAACTTCAGCTGAGTTTGCTTTCTACAGTCCAAGAGAAGGCCAGAAAAAATAATAAAGCTTATTACATTCGAAGAATGCCACTAAATTAGAGTTGGTCTATCAAGTAAAGATTTCATAACAGACATCATAGTAGTAGTAGTAAAACGGTGTATGACATGAAGCAAAGTTCAGTATCATTACATAAACAGAACTATATGTAACCTTGTTGACCTATAGCAAGTGAAATTATAGAGTGAATAAAATCATTTTGTAGAAATCGTCAAAGACTTTGTTAAAAAACTGTTATACCAACATAAGAAACTAGTTTTGCAGCATGGGATATATGATAAGATAACTAATAGTAATATCTCAAAATATTTATAAGCTCGAACTAGAGAATGAATATATGTGTTTTATGTGTTCCCCTTTTCTTAATACCATTGTGAGCATCATTCAGAGATTTTGTGTTTTATGTGTTCCCCTTTCTAAATACCATTATCCTCAAGGGGAAATGAACTTGTACTACTTGCCTAATATTTTGAAGAATTAACCCAAATAGCCGTCCATCTAATCTTTTAAACTAAAAAAAGCCGACGGATGTATAATATATACATAATTTATATATAATATATGTATAACTATGTATAATTAATGTATAATCTACGTATACTGACTAGAAAAGTAAACATTGAATCTGGCCGACTCTTTACATATGTGGAATTAGAGTGAACATTACCAGCAAAATAGCTTTGATATGTCGACGATCAAACTCGAATTCAGCTTCTTTAGATTGCATAATACTCATCAGTGTATCAACCATGTCTTTTGCTTGCTTCTGCTCAGTGGATTGAACATGTTCATCAATAACTCTCTCCAGGAACTCATCAAAAAGCTTAGCTAATTCCTTCATACGACGAGCAAATCCCTGGAGATCAAGAACACGAAGAAAGGGAAAGAATTCAGCAAAATTTGGCAATGCTGCTATGTGCAGTATATCTTGAATCAGAGCTTTGAAACCCTTATCGCCAAGATCCTCGTCCATGTACTTCTTCCCAAATATCATCAGACAAGACATGTTCGCGCTAAGAGATGCAACTTTAGCACTAAGATCAATCACAGTGCCTTCAGACGCCGCATGTTTGAGGAAATTCACAAGAATTCCGAGTTCTTGTTTCCTCATAGGCTGAAATTGATGGATCTTGGCATTGCTTAGCAATTGCAGAGTGCACAATTTGCGCATGTTTCTCCAATATGGTCCGTACTTGGCTGATACCAGATTCCTCCGTTCATAGAAAATATGCTGAGGAACTTCATTATACGGTCTGCTGGCAAAAACCAAATCATGATTCTTCAAGAATTGTTCTGCAGCATGAGGAGAGGAAGCAACAATGACAGGTACAAGACCAAAGCGGATAGTCATTATTGGGCCATATTTCTTGGCTATTTTGTGAAGATCTTGGTGAAGATTCTCGCCTACCATGTGTAGATTTCCAAGAAGTGGAAGCCCTCTTGGCCCTGGTGGAAGTTTCTTTTTCTTCTTACTGAACTTCTTCTGCAGTTCTTGAAGAAGAAGAAAAAACAGGACAACTACTGCAAGAGCTAGCCAAAGAGAAGCCATGGATGGAATTCACAGCCCCTTTTTGCTACTACTAATTTACTTGTTGAAAAGGTAGTACTTATAGCTCTTTGTGGAAGCAGAGGAATTGTGGTGGAAATTGGACGGCAAAAATAGCTCACATGACAAAAAGGCACAAAGGGAAAAGGTAAAGAAAATACTCATTTATTACTGGGAGAACATATAGTCACTTACTGATGGTCATATTTAAATGCCGAAATTCATAGACATCTCTTTAAACTTGTGTACCAACTTCAAGTAGACATTTTAACTATACTAGTGATCATTTAGAAGTGTGTCTTTTGAACACTTGTGTCTGTGAGACAATCGCCGATTGTTTGCCGGCTAATTCAACTAACAGTTCGAACCAAGAAATGAAAGAACGCATGTCGTATGAGTTCACACAGACTCTGTGGGGCGTGTCCGTAAGGGTCTTATGACACAATAAATAATTCGGTTTGTTTTCAATTAGCCTTGCTCTAGCTTTTTAAGTGTTATTAGAGTATTTGGTAGCCGAAGACATGTACTCTTTACATGCTTATACATTCATAGCACATGACTTTGCGAGCAAATGTTTGCTTTGACGCATCTTACTATCTACTGTCTTCTATGAAATAGACTGCATGTGAATTAAATGGTACAAGTAAAAGAAATGACTAGCCTTTCATTCACTTTAATTAGGATCTTGTCCTCTCTTCTGTAAAATATGGACCATATAGAGGACATTTTCGTCTTTATATTATCAATCATCACGTGAAGAAATTTGAATGGCTGAGAAATGAATGTACTGCAGCTCCCTGTAAATTATTATGCTACTTGACAATTTTGATCTTCTGTTTTATATGTCTTTGTACATGTGTGTAGTCTATTCATACGTGGATAATAATTTGCCAATTGGTAGTAGTTGGTTTCTATGGCTCTGCACATTTTGTTAGGTCTACTTTCTATGGCTCTGCACATTTTGTTAGGATTACCTTCCACTTGTCACTGGACAAATTCAATACACTCTTATCAGTTTCAATACACGAGTCTTAATTTGAGAGAAATCTTAAACTAAAAGTAGGTATAACATGTCAAAAATGTATTGTAGAGAACCAAAGCATTAATATAAAATGCTCAAACTAAGGAAAATTAACAGGCACTTGGCGAAAACTACTGCTTAAGCATAAATATGCAGTGATTTGCAAATAAATTTTTTAATTTCCTTTAGACCATCTCTACGAAAAAGTGAAGTACCTATACATTGAAGATTATTAAACGTTACTATTGTAAGTATTCCATTCGATGATTTCGGCCAAAAAACAGAAGGTGAGATTGCTATGCCTTTTTTTTCTGACAGGAGAAATATAGAAGTAGGTAAAGGAAAGGGACAATTAGGGGTGTAAATAGGTCGGGTTGGTTCGGATTTTTCAATTACCAAATCAAACTAATGGTGTTGGGTTTTTAATTTTATAAACCAAACCAATAAAATCGAGTTTTTCAATCTCGGTTTTTCTAGGATTTTTCGGTTTTTTTCGGGTTTTCGAATTTTTTTCCGGTTAAGTCTTAATAGCACAAAATATATAACTTATGCTCTAAATATTTATTTTAGTCCTAGTAGGATACAACTATATAATGTATTTTTCAAGAAAATATAATAATAATAATAATAATAATAATAATAATAATAATAATAATAATAATAATAATAATAATAATAATAATAATAATAATATGAGATGTGCCGTAACATTGTACTAAAATATTCAATAACATAGATAATAAAATCGCACAAAGAAAATATTACTAATTAATACACCATAATAAAAATTAACATAATCTAAAAATACTATATAGATCGTGCTAAAATAAGTATAACTAATAAGTACTATTACTTACACAACTAAGCATAAAAATAAAAAAAAAAGATAAACTAGGTTATACATTTTCATTATAAATCAATGCAAAATTAAAAAATAGATATCCAACACTATTGTCTTTCCTAGTGTTGAATTAAATTTTCTTTATTAGCATTATTATTATTTTGAACTTTATTTGACTTACTACTTTTATGGGTTATAAAATTTATTAGATCATTCAAGAATGTTAAGTGCAAACTTTAAATAATATTTTTAAAGATAAAACTTTGAACAAGTTTAAGAAATATTTATAAATTATATTACAATAAATATTTATATGCATAAATTTTTTTAGTTTTGTTTCGGTTTAACTTTTTTTAGTTAAAACCAAACCAAATCAATTATGGTCGGGTTTTTTTTTCTAACACCAAAACACAATCGGGATTTTTTCTCGGTTTGACCTGGGTTATTGGGTTGGTGCAATTTATCGATTTTCTTTGTACACCCCTATAGGGACAATAATTGATAGAAAGAGACTTATGCACGTTTTAAGCCTTTTGTTTTGTAATTTGTTTGTTCTCAAAAATTTAAAAAAGGACCCAAAAAAAATACGAATCTTGATAAAATTATTATCTTTTCAGCTATTTTGGAACTAGGGGCTGTATTTGACAGCGACAGATTTAGTAGGCGTTTGAACATAAAAATTGTTATTTTTGAAAGAAAGTAGTATTTAGAATTAAGTTAAAAATGGTATTTGGATTTTGAAATTTGTTTGAACATGCATTTTACTTGAAAAAATATTGCAGTTTTGTGAACGGGAAAACAAATTCTGAAAATTTTGAAAAAGTCGCCAAAACCAGTTTTTGGGTTTTGAAAAACTCATTTTCAAAAAAAATTCTAAAAACTTACAAAAAAGCAAACACATTTTTGATTTTTTTTTTTTTTGAAAAATAGAAAAAAAATTTATGAACATACGGGGCCTTAGTTCGCTTTTATAATTATAATTTAGTAAAACTTGAGATCCAATTTCTTAATTAAATTTTATTCAGAAGAGCCTTGGTTACTTCTATTTAAATTATTGAAAAATTTGCAAAAGTTGGTTCCACTTGATTTTAGGAAAACGTCTTATATTCGGCAGTTCCTAACTTCCTATTCATGTACTAGAATATCCATATGAGTTCAAAATCCTAATATATGTTTTTTTTTAAAAAAAAAATAAACTGAATTTCTAAAATGAACCTTTTAAGGTGCTATAATTTGTTAATTAGAACTCGATAATCAAAGAGTAATTTCTTTTTCAATTGCATCGAATAATAAGAATTAACGGAAAAAAGCTTTTGTTAAATTTTAAATTTGTTTGTGCGGCAATTAACTATATATAACAAGAAAAGTAGGACAAAGATTTGAATTGCAGATTAATTAATGTTCTGCTGAAACATTTCGCTTGATGCACTTAGATTTATTCATTTTGGTCATTATCACATTCCTTCATACTAGTGTCATTTTTTCTATTGGGTATAGCTATAACTTGTTTTTTTTAATTTCAACAAAGTTATTTAAAAAGAAAAATAAAAATGGACAAAGCCGAATAAAATCTTCAATGATGGGTGGCCATGACACTCTTTACAGACATCTCTTGTTGCTTTAATATAAGTAAAATCCTTTACTAATTCAACTAATTATTTATTTTAAATTTTATTGAGTAATCAAGGATATGCTGGTATCAGTTCCACGTGGAAAAAATATCTAAGAATATCACAAAGGAAACAGGGTCTGGTTCTGTCACGGGCAACATTAGAAATATGAAAGGAAGTGTTGTAAACATTCTAATTCCTAACATATTTTTAAGGCTAAATACCTATATAGTCCATATATAGACATTTAAAATTAACCTTTAAAATTAACCTCAAATGTCAATCTTACACTCTAACTTACTCAATGATTAAATAGACTTCAACTTAGCACAAATGTGTTTCTTTGGATACTCGTGGCTGACATGGCAAAATGAGTGTCTCTCACTCAAATTTGAGCGCGTGAAGATGCATAAAATTATATTTTTGCTTTAATATTTTTATGTGGATCCCGATTTCTTCATCCCCAATCAAGCCCTACCCACCATCACAATCAAGCCACAACCTCAATACCACCCTCACGCCACCACCTCAACAAGGAGATGCAGTTTGTAAAAGTTATTAAAAAAAATCCCAGTAAGATTCAAATTAAAGTGAAAAATTAAGCAAGGAAGTAGAACGAACAGAAAATTAAAAAAAGATGAGCAATTTGTTTCTTTGTTTGGCCATTTGGTACTGCAAATCAAAAAAAGCACGAGATCAAAAAAAAAAAAAGGATAAAGGGAAAGAGACTAGGAAACTCAGATGGTAAGGAGATGAAGAGAGAGGTCGTCGGAGGTGAGCGTTTCCGATGAGGTTCTGTGATGGTGGGCAGATAGTTTCTCAGTTTGCAGATTTAAAAAGGAATTATTAAAGGGCATTAGAGTAAAAGTTTTGAAAAAAGGTCGTTGGTTTTGGGGTGAGGGGAGTGCTAGAGAAGAAGACGGAGGAGGGAAGGGGTCTGGTTTAGATTTTAAGAAGAAGTTGGGGAGGGACCGGGAGGGGGGGGTCTGTTTTTTGGAAGAGGAAGAATTATTCTTTTTGAGTTTTTTTATTAAGTTATTATTAAGGTGATAATTACACGTGTCATTACAGACACAGATGTTCAGAAGGCATAATTTGGCCAATAAAAAGTGTTTATTTGATCGTTAAGTAAGTTGAAATGTGAGAGACATGAACCTAACTTTAACTATATTTTGCCTTTCTAGTGATCAAATGAAAGTGTCTTCTCAACACCCGTATCCATAAAGTAAAACGCACTCCCTATTGACGTATAAAGTAAACCAATTATTAAATGACGCGTATACTTTGAAAGAAAAAGAATTGATAAGTGTAACAAAAAAGGCATTAAAAAAAGTTCAACCATAAAGAAAACTGGAAAAAAGAAAGAAGACAAACCCCGCCTCATCTATTAGGACAAAAAATGAATCTTATGTAACAGTTAATTAGTGATATTGTCAACTTTGGGCCCCGGCCGGCACAATTTTAAAACACATCATTAGAATCTAAGATTTATTTATTTATGTGTCTAACATCTCTCTCGATTTTTATCACACGCAGAGTGGCTCTGATGCCCTATGTAATACCTCATTACACTAGTGATATTATCCACTTTAGGTCCAGGCTCGCATAACTTTAAAATATGTCATTCGAGTCTAAGACTTATTTACTTATATACCTAGTATCTCTCCCGTATTTTGTCGCCACAGGATTCATATGAGGTGTCAAATCTTATTGTTACTTCTTCAGCTCTATTTTTCTGCTCTGATTTTTATTTAATTATAGCGATTGTATATGGTCGAAATTGATTTCGGCTTTCGTACGATTGATCGAGATGGGATCATAATGGACCAAAGAAAGATTTCGTAATATCGAGATGGGTTCCGAAGATGGTACGAACGAGCTTCAGATTTCAGGTATAGGTCAAACACCGAGTTCGAAGTCATTATCGAGCTCGGGTCCTAATCGAACTATGATGAGATGTTATAGAATCGAGCTTAAGGGGCAAAGGCCAACCGATACCGAGCCCGAGTCATCACCAGATCCCGAGTCGGCATCGAG